GCCTGTCTTGGAACTCTCTCTGTAGACCAGGCTGGCCTCGAACTCACAGAGATCTGCCTGCCTCTGCCTCCTGAGTGCTGGGATTAAAGATGTGCTCCACCACCGCCTGGCCTAGATCATTTCTTGATGTGTATTTTTTTATAATTTTTGAGTGTTTATAAAATTTAAAGATTACTAATGGATAATGAAAGCAATGAATAAGTAGAAAATGAAGTCAAACTAATTTTTAAATCTACCCATGTGTTGAAAACAACCTATCTTAGTTATTCGTTGACACCTGTGCTCATGCTCATGGCTTTAATTTGATATGATGATTTACACAGTGTACATGCAATTATATTGTAAACAGAAACCCAAGCAGCTAAATATATGCTTTTGAGCTAAATCACATTCTCTGTGTTTAAAGTAAATACCTCTAATTTTCATAATGTTCAGCAAAGTACACAGAATCAACCAGACACTGAGACAGCAGAACAATCTTAAGAACTGGGGCCCAGATACCAAGTCACAGTCACTGCCCCTGATTCCTTTCTCTCCCTATCATTTTTTTGTTTTAGATGACAAGAGTGTCCTGCTAGTTGGATGCCATCCGACTGATCTGCATTTGAGATTTATCTTATTTTTCTATGTCAGTACACAAGAATTTCATGAAAATGTTCCTAATAGTTGATAACAGTTCCACAGGGTACTTACTTCGTTCCACAGAACACTCTAAACTCTTCTCATGAATTAGTTCAGTTTTTACAACAACTTTGTTGGGTGGGTCTGTGATTAGTAATATTGCTACATAAAATAATCTGCATATGAAGATAAACCACTGTCTAAAGTCTGCCTGTTATCTCACACTCCATGATGTTGAGACTGAAGATAAAACACCCTTCATCTTGCTATTATTGGAAAGCAGGTTGTTACAACTGAAACATCTGACTTGGTACAATTTATTGTCTCCTAATTCACACTTGGAGCTTTATATAAAATGATGGCTGTTACTTATTCAAATTTTTGTAATATATAATAATTGTATGTATGTCTTTATAGAGGATATATAGTTATAACTAATCTACTTTATTGGTAAAGTGACTCAGGTGCTGAGTGACTGACACACAGAAAACTCATTTTTTGAAAATAAAAACATCACAGAAAAAAACTAAGATAATGAATAGTCATATGTTTTCTGTTTATATATAAACTTATGTTCACCTATTTTCTGTTTATATATACTTCCAATGGAATAAATCATAATTTTAAATACTACCTGTTTCATGGGATAACTTAAATAATTGAGCCCCATCTATTAAAGTGACTTTTAGTAAATCTTCTAACAGTTACTCAGAAACAGTTACACATATGATGTCACAAATCACATAGGAGAAAATGTCACTTCACATCTCAGCAATCCCAGGTACATTGCTTACAAGTTGGATGGTCAAGTTCATCCCTTCAATTGCATGGATTTTGCTTTGGTACAATTGCACAGTCAATACATAAAGGTTTGAATTGTCACTTCCATCAGTCACAGAGAAAATGTGATCTACAAAGAGTTTCCAAAAAAAAAAAAATGGCACTTTAAAGAGTGCTACTGGAAATAGGTACTTCGGGCTGGAATTGCAGCCTCAGGAGCAAATTCATTGTCTTTCACACACACCTGTTAAAGACACTTCTGGGATTAAATGATACAATTCTTTGAAAGTGTGTGGGGAGAGGGGTTTGGACTTGCCTCAGCTGAATGTGCTGGGCTTTGCTGACTGCCCATGGGAAGCTATACCTTTTCAGAGGAGGCGATGGGGGATAAGCCGGATGGGGGAAGGCTGAGAGAAGGGAGTGGGAGGAGGGATGAGGGGGGATCTGTGGTTGGTACGTGGAATGATTAAAAACATTCTTAACAATAAAAAAAAAGTTTGTGCATCAGAATCACTGTGTGAAAGACTTGGGTGGGGAAACTCAGTACCTCACATCATTTCACTGTAGTTAAAGTGAAACTCCTTTCTATATCAAATGCATTTCCTTAAAAGTGTCTTTGTGTATAAATGAGTTTGTTGGTGTCCTCTCTTCCTTGGGCATACATAACAGCTTCATCCTGAGGTTGGAATAAGGCACAGAAGAGATGGGAGCCTTGTGCATTCATGGTGCACAGTGTCATCTGGAAACAGATTCCCACAGAAGCATGTGGTACAGCTGCTGATCAAGGGCCCAGAGGAGACCTCACAGGTGACTCCTACTGGGAGGACAATAACCAACCATCTGCTCAAAGTTGTTCCTGATGGGAAACCATCAGAAGTTGGTAGACTTTCACTCTTCCCCTGCTGTTCCTTGCTCCTTCTCAAGTCTCATTCCAAAGTTCTCATTTCAAAGGCATCAGGAGCATGAACACAGCATAAAAGAACCGAGGTTCAGCAGCTAATGCACAAGCCTCCTCCAGCACTCCATGGTTCCTTTTCAGGAAGAACTCTAAAGAACTGTTCTCTCCCCACCATTCTTTCAGTCCCTACACTTCTTTCTGAAGTGTAGGCATTGCTTTGGAATAGCAATTCAATCCTCCTGTAGAATAAAACTATTTGAAAAGTACAACCATTCTATTCCAAAGCTCTTTAACCTTCTCATGCATTTGTGTTCTTTGACCACATGCATTTGTGCACACATGAAATGGATCTTTGTATGAGCTGCATTTTCAAACCATTAGCTTGACTATATTTTTATATTTCTATGTGCTTTCTAAACAACAGAGACAATATGCCTTTTTTTTAAGGCTCCATGGGGTTCACTCGGAAAATGCTTGTCAGAATGAAGGTGAACATTTGTGTTTCTTTCAGAACAAATGAAGTAAGTCTAAGCCAGGAGTGCTGATATTGTTCATGCTGATGGAATTATGGGATGTCTGTTTGACGTCTATAGGGTTGTTAGTTGTAATGGTAAGGGGGAGAGCAAACAGAACAGACAGTTACCAATCCTTCCTATTTAAAAGGCTGAATTATCTGAGAATTGCCACCCTGGTAGCTAGAACACTACCATAAAGCACCTATCTTCAACTGACCACAGCATCTGTTTCAAAGTAGTCATTCTGTTCCTTCCAGAAAGAGGTGAACATCAGGCCTATGGCAGAAAAGGCAAGCAGTTCTGAGGAGCTCTACTCAGAGAGACACACAGCAGGGCAAATGTACTTCCACATCAAGAGTTTCAGCTCCACATTCCCCGCACTTTAGAAGGAACTTTAGAGTCAACAAGTGGCAATTGTCACCCTCTGTGGATTTATCCAACACAGTGCAATCGCTTCCTATAAAGAACCACTAAGGAAGTTAGCTGACAGAAATCCCAGTCACATGTGGCCGTGGCTGAACCCACCGTGTTGCTCAACAGTGCAGCAGGTCCATCCTGACTAATGTGACAGTCTTGACAGAGCTTTGCAGTCTGGGTTTTAACCTTTATGTTTGTCACATGACAATGAGAACTATTGAACACTGGAAGGAGAGTAGCTTTCCGTGATAGACCTTTAAAGCCCATACTCTTCTGGCAAGTGACACACTGACAATGTCACATTCATTTTCAAATATGTTCACCATCAGAAGTGACAATGGCCCAGAGCAATTATGTAAATGGTTACTAATTATGGAAATTCACTCTTCAATTCCATCTTGTATTTTTTGTAAAATTCAAATGCAATATCATAGGATGTTCCTGTCTAATTTCAAATAAGAATAATTTAAAATTTTCTAATAAATGTATTGACCTTCAGGCTTAATGATACCTATAGAAATTAATTCTTTCCTAGATAGGGAAGTTGGTGGCTACTGCATTAAGGAACTAGAACAAGCTTTGGGTGGAGACTATAGAGCTTGCTTACTCGAATGGCAGCTGCTTTAAAAAGAAAATGGACTATGGGAATTCAAGAGATGTTTACTGTCTTTCATACCACTGTAGGTTGGGTTTCCCTTGTTCCACCATTTACTGTTTAGTGAGTATGTTGACTGGCATCTACTTAAGTAGAAACTTTAGAAATGCCCCTTCTTCAAAAGAATACACAAATTAAAGCAGAAAGTGAGAGCAAATGGCAAGGACTGGAAGAAAAACTGTATAAGTTTTTTTGGTGTTTACCATATTATTCAAAAGAGCTCATTATTTACAGAAGTCTTATTTTTTAAAAATGAAAAACAGTGGATTTCTTTTTTTAAGAAAAAGTATATTATAAATTGCAATGACAAGCAAATCTTAAAAAAAAATAAAACTCAATTCTGATTTCAGTCTTGTAAAGTCACTTGGGTTGTGCTCAAGGAAAGACCATGTTTATCAATTTTTGGAGCTAAATGGAGCAGTTTCTGCATGGAAAGGAAAGTTAGGTTATGCAGGCCTGAAAGAAACATCTACAAAAAGCAGGAGCATGACTACATCATGTTGCTTTTAAGAGCCTGTGAGCCTGCTTCATCCTTTCTCTCTGAATCTTGTACAGTTGTGTGTCTCTCCTTTATTTTTGGTAAGTTATACAATCAGCTAGTGTCTCCATTCATTTGAATTTGAAAGAATCCACACCCTGTGTGTGTTATTTTATTTCACAGAGGCCAAGGGAAATGGGTTGCTGCCAGTAGGGTGCTCAAGGCATGCAGAATAAATTCAGTCCGAGGAACTGAAACAGGCCACTCACTCTTGTGCTGTGCTTGTGAGAGAGGAAAGAAAATCCATCAGCAACTTTGAGACTCAATCCTCAGCAGCAGTCATAAAGCACTTCTCAGTCAGTGCGTTTGAAATCTCCATTAAAAATAGGTTCTCTGTACTGGGACTGAAATTCTCATCCACGGCCAGTGATGGAACACAGTGCCCAATTGTTCCCAACTAGCTACTTCTCTGTCTGGGTACTATCTTGTAAATTTAAACATGGCCAAAGGAAGCCACCTGGGAGTTTCAGGACTACTGCACAAGTCTTAGTACCTTCTGCTTTCCCTGGCTCCCTAAAACTTAGAATTCCCTCCACTGGGGAACTAGGACGCTGGGGGGGGCGGGGGGGGGGGGGGGGGAGGAGGGGGCGGAGTCCCTAATTACTAGCAGGGGTCTAATGTAAACAGGCACTCTGGGGACATTCCTTTCTCTCTCAACTTTGGCTGGGGGATGGGGTGTCTTCATTCTGCTCTGAAGAGAAGCTCTTGATCCCTGAATGGAGGCAATCCTGAGACTTTCGCCAGGAACCTGGGGAAATTGTGGAAGGGCTCTCTGCTCTCTCCAAGGATTCTGAGCCTTAATCACTCAGCTAGCATCTTGTTTAGGTGGGAAGTGCTTCTCCCCTGACCAGAGCAGCCACCTGGCTTGGGGTCTCAAGCTTCTGGACTCACCTAGTGCTGAGAACGTGCAGGCAGCAAGCACAGCAGGTAGTGTGCATCTTTGAATTTCATGTGGCCGCCCTCTGGGGGTACTTCTCTCGCACCTGCTCTTTTGCCTCCTCTGGTCTGGTCAGTCGCTGCTCACTGACCTCTCTCCATAGGAAGCCGGGAGCCCTCTCCAGAGATCCGACCCCCACCTCCCCACCTCCCCACTCCCCGTCCCCTGACAAACACACTGATAGACGCTTCAGAAGGCAAGTCCAGGATGGTCCAGCGCTGGGCTCAGCGCGCACAGGGCGGCCATAGCAGCGGGAGGGAGAAAGGACCCGCGCCCTGGTCGCTGCCCTGGTAGCCAGCTGCACTTGGTCACTCCCGTGCTCTCTGAAGAAGATCTCCTCTTCCCCGCTCTTACTGAAGACAGGAGGGGAGGGCGGTGGCAAGGACCAACCTCCTTCTCTTGTAATTGAGCTGGCGTGCTCCGCAGGCTGAGAGACAATTCGCTGGGAAGGACTCCAGACTCTTTAGGGTCCAGAGCAGAAGTCTCTCTTACCAGCTTGAGCTGCTTTTGCAGAGATGTTGCTTGGAGAGTAAGCTGAAAATACTGCTCTGATTAGATGCATAATGGCTTACCTGCTGCGAATGGAGTGGAGCAGCAGTCAGGGCAGATCAGAAGCCCCGCCCTTACCCAGGTGACGTTAGGAGGTCTCTATCACGGAAAGGGTCCAGGACCAACACCAGGTCCGCAGATCTGGGTCCTCGTACCTGTGGGTCCTCTCTCTCTTCTGGTTTCTGTGCCTGTCAGCTACTCAAGAGTGTGCAGCTGGCTGCTGGAGTCCATACACCTTTACAGATCGTTTTCCTGCGGGCAAACTCCTCAGCAAGACCACAGAGACAATTGTCATTAACTCATGGTAGGGGGAGAAGGCAGAGTACCCTATCTACCACCGCATTTTGTGTAGTTTCTAAATGCTGTATATCAAGCATCCAATGTTTAACAAGCTTTATTTAGGAATTTTGTCAGAAAAAGGAAACAGCACAACTTTAAAGCACTCTACCATTTTGCAAATTCCGTTTTAAAAGAAAGGCTGACTTCACATACAGAGATTTAGAAATGAGTGTGTTTCTCTCTCTCTCTCTCTCTCTCTCTCTCTCTCTCTCTCTGTGTGTGTGTGTGTGTGTGCGTGTGTGTGTGTGTGTGTGTGTGTGTGTGTGTGTGTGTGTGTGTGTTAGAAGAAAATGGACATGACATTCAAGAATCAATGTACTGAAGTAGACACTTATAAGGAAAAATTTCAAAAAACAGTCTGCTATAAACTCAGTATTGAAGAAGTATTTGATGATAAAATAATGCATTTATCCCCAGACTCTATAAAGGGTGGAAAAGCAGTGCATTTCCTTAGAATTTACCATTTTGTTCCAGTTTTCTTACTGATGAGGCTAAACTTAAAGGTGCACTTACTGAAGAACTTTGTTGTGAGAATCTCAAGCCATTAAAACAGGACTATTAGCCGGGCGGTGGTGGCGCACGCCTTTAATCCCAGCACTCGGGAGGCAGAGGCAGGCGGATCTCTGTGAGTTCGAGGCCAGCCTGGACTACCAAGTGAGTTCCAGGAAAGGCGCAAAGCTACACAGAGAAACCCTGTCTCGAAAAACCACAAAAAAAAAAAAAAAAAAAAAACAGGACTATTAATATTTTCAGTGAATGCCAACCCTTTTGGCAGTAGTAACATCTACAATAATCATAGCTATAGTCAGACACAAAGTAGCTCCCTCCTGTAATGTATTTTAGAAGAAAAGAAAAGAAAACCACCACCACATCAACAGCCCTATGGAAATTTAAAGCTCAGATTTCAAGGGGGAAGGAGACCAGTGGAGTTGTTTTGTTCTGCTATGTAGCCTAAGTAATCCTCAAATTTGCAGCAATCCTCCTGTCTCAGCCTCTGGAGTTCTGTCCTCCTTATTTTTAAAAGTGACTATTAAGGTGTATATTAACAAGGGCATACCACTTTGTAATAATAACAAAAATGTGTATAGCAAGAAATAACAGTCATTTGAAGGATGCAATTCTGCTTATAGACCAAGTTTGCATTAAATATTTTAATGTCTCCACCACATGAACCCAGTGTGGTCATTCCCAGTGTTCGACTCTTCTACAGTTGTATGATTCAGAGTGGTCAAGTACCTGTCATCAGTCACTAGTAATTTCTACAAAGCAGTAGCCATTCAAATTCTTTTGACATTACTCCATGACTTATATGTTCGTGAGGAAAAATATTTTGTGGTACCATAATGTAAGTCTCCAACATAAATTTTGTTATTTTACCACTAGACATGAAACAACAAGGGGAAATTTTCAGATTATTCACTAAGGAAGTGAAGAGTCAGAATAGTGCTTGGACTGGATCTCCAAGCCCTGCTATACTCTTTATTGGAAACCTATAAAATTTATTAAAGGGCATTAGAGCATCAAGGGGCACTTGGCTGAAGGTGATCCTGTGATTTGGGAAACCCTTGCAGGATTAGATGTTTAAGAATCTACATTCAGCCAGATGGTGGTAGTGCATGCCTTTAATCCCAGCACTAGGGAGAAAGGCAGGTGGATCTCTGTGAGTTCAAGGATAGCCTGATCTACAAAATGAGCTCTAGGATAGCCAGGGCTACATTGAGAGACCATGTTTCAATAAACCAAAAAAAAAAAAAAAAGGAAAGAAAAGTATCTACATTAAAATACAGACACCTCTTAGCAGATTTGTCCCCTCCCGCTCCCCCCCGGGAAATCATAGATGAGTGTGAGCCTCATTTTCCTCTGACAGTATGTTCACAATTCAGGAAGAAATTTCAGCTTTAAAGTTGATTTTCTGGCTTCAGAGAGACAATGTGAATTCACTCACCACCACTCACCTTATCTCTTCCTCTCCCCATCTTTGGGGAGTCCCATTCTTAATATTTCAGATTGGCCAGCACTGTTAAGTCCTGTGTGATTTGTCCCTTTCACATTTATGTTTCAACATTCATTCATTAATGACAGGGCTTGCATCAGTACTTCATTCCTTTCTTTTGATTAATGGTGCTACATTGAATGAACAGTGAATGCACATGTGGTTTGTTAATTCAAAAATTAAAAAACATTAAGCTTTTTAATCTATTATGAATCATCTTACCAAGATAAATGTAAAAGATTTTCTTTGTTAACATCAGTTTTTAAAAATTATATTGGATCTATAGCTGAGTGATCTGGCAATCCTATATTTAATATTTTGAGAAAGTGCCAAACTACTTTCCAAAATACCTAAAATAATGCATGAAGATACTAATTTCTCTACTTCCCTTTTGCTATTATAGATGTTCTAGGTGGAGTACCATAGTACCAGGGTGTGCCATGATGACATAATTAAGAATCTTCCCATTTTTTTAATATGTGCACATTTTGGGAGATGTAATTATTTATAATTTTATTATTAGAGATGTCTTTATTTATAATTTTGACCCACTGGTTTATTTTAATCTAATTTTGAGATTTAAGAGTTCTGTATTTTGATACAGAATATCAAATTCAGAATTTGAATTCAGTATCTGTGGGTACAAATGGTTTGTAAATGTCTCCCAATGTGTAGGTAGCTTCACATCTTCTAGACAGTTCCATCTGGAGCACAGAGTTTTCTTGTGTGGCTCTTTCTCCCTTTTTTTTCACTTGTCATATAGCTAAGGATGACCTTGAACTCCTGACCCTGTCTCTACCTCCCAAGTGCTGTGATTATAGTTATGTGCCTGCTTGCTTTGCTATGATCCTTCTTCTTATGAGGTCTAGCATATTTGTTGTTACTTATGTTTTTAGAATTGTACATACATACATACATACATATTCTTTACAAAATGTGTTAATAGTCGTAACTGTGCTTTTTCTGAATATTTTGATGTTTTAAGCTCTGAAAAGTAGGCCCATCTGGGTTGAGTGTCCTGAGCCTTTAATTGCCACCCAAGAGACTGAGGTGGGGGATAATAAGTTTGAGACCAATGTGGGAAACTTAGCAGGACTCTGTCTCTGAACAAACTACAAAGGGCTAGGCATGCAGCTCGGTTTAGAGTGCTGGCCTGGCATGTATGACGTCCAGGATTCATGCCACACAACATATTTTACCCCTAATCTATTTAGAGTCAACTTTTATAGGTTTGTAGGAGTGTTCAAGCCCCTTTTATGGTACATGGTTAACAATGGTACAGAAAGGGTTATTCTTTTTCCAGGCTCATTGCTGTGTTATTTGTTCTCAATCACAATAATAACTTTATTTTCCTTAAATTTTGGATGGAATTCGGGTGGTGGTGGTGCACGCCTTTAATCCCAGCACTCGAGAGGCAGAGGAAGATGAATCTCTGTGAGTTAGAGACCAGCCTCGGCTACAGAGTGAGACTCAAGACAAGATTCAAAGCTACACAGAGAAACCTTGTTTCAAAAAAATTTTTTGGATGGATTGGATGTTATGCTGCCATATCATAAACTACAATAGCATCTAATATTTCAATTTTGACCTCGTGGTTTAAAATTCTATGGTTTTACTCCTGAGCTGGACTTGCTACTTTTTATGGTTTTTATTCTGTGCAGTAAGGTTATGAATCGGAACTTTATCTTCAGCATGGAGTTCTTCATTGACTTCATAAATATATTTCCTGGCACACCTTGAGCCAAATTCAATAACAAAGAAACCTTTTATGGCCCCTCCTCTGTCACTGAATATTTTCTATTTCCTTAACTCAGTCTCCCAAGTTCTAAACCTGAGATTCAGGCCTTCCTTCTGCCTCTGTCTCTTGTGTAAATGATCACCTTGTTATGTAGCTTTTATTTACTTATTCTTTTTTATTAAGAAATTTTTTTATCTATTTTACATACCAATTACAGATACCCCACTCATCCCTCTTCCTTCTCCCCCCAGCCTTTTCCCCCAATCCACCCTCATCCTCTCCTTCAAAAAGCTAAGGCCTCCCATGGGGCATCAGCTAAGCCTGATATATTCAGCTGAGCCAGGTCCAAGCCCCTCCCCCTGCATCAAGGCTGTGCAAGACGTCCCACCATAGGTAATGGACTCCAAAAAGCCATCACATGCACCGGGTTATGAGCTTTTACACATATTCATTTATGCCACTCCTCTGGTAAGTAGAGCTCTATCCCTGGGTTCTCCATTTCTTGATTCACAAATAAACCTCTGATCTTCAAGGGGATTCACTTAAGTGCATTACTCTTGCTGCAGCTCACTCAGAAGACATGTGAGTAGTCATGAAGCCTCTCAGACATTGCCCTCAAATATTAGATTCCCTTTATGTAAGCTTTGTCTTCATTTTTGGTTCCATGTTGTTTCATCTTAAAGAACATTTCCCCCGATACATTTGTTAATTTCTTAATTTTTCTAAGGGTTAAGAAAGATAATGATGTTGTATAAAACTATAGTTTATGTAAGTTTCTGTGAGCCAATTATTAATATTCCACAGTTGAATATGTAAATCTGGGGAAGGAGAGCTACAAGAAATAAAAATTATTCACAGATTTTCCTGAAAACTTGTTTCCTATTTTTGGCCTCACTGTTTTATCACTTCTAATTAAAACTATTGACAAGAAACTTTGTCTGATGAAACCAATTATCCATTTGGAAAAAATGTCCAACTTGTTCTGAAAAAATACAGAGGAACACAGGGTCAAAACAAACTCCTGTTATTTGTGTACAAAACAGTAAAATTGCTAATGAAAACAAAATAAATGTTTTTTTTTTTTTTAAGAGTGCCAAGCCCAGTGCCTTCAAATTTGTCTCTGAACAGCTTTACTCTGTTGAATTTCATCCTCCTCAATCTTTCTAGTTCACATGAATGATTCAGGAGCTCTTGAGTGACAGTTCTGTGCAAGGCAACCTCTTTTGATCCATGAATGTGTCCCTAGGTCCTTGCTTTGCTAGCAGTACCATGGGCAAATTATTCTGTGATAAAGTTCATGCACTTGAAAACATAGGCAGCCATAATTAATGCCTTTAACTAGTATTTTTAGGGGGTGGAGGCTAGATATGGGGTCTTAAAATGTAGATCAGGCTAACCTACAACTCCTAGAAATGCTCCTGCCTCAGCCTCCCAAGTGCTAAAATTATAACTGTGGACCACATACCTGCTCATAACTATTAACATTACATGTATAATATGGAAATCCTTTGTCCAAATGCAAGGCTTGAGCTGTAAATTTAAATCTGCTTTAGACAGATTTTCTCACAGCAAATCCTTCAGGGCACATCATTCCCAATGATGACTTAGTTGTGGAAATGTTTTGAAGGAGCATAGAAATGCCTTACTACATGAATGGCCTTGTTCTATAAGGTTTTTTAGTCCATTAGTAGTTATTTTCAATTACTGTCATATTTTTAGCATGTTGATTAAGAAATCTGTTCTGTCCTTTTTTGAGTAATTAAATTATTCCTATCTTTACAAATCAGTAGTATCTCTTGTTTCATAGAAATAAGTGTGTTTTCTTTTTCACATGTATATTTGTTTGTCTTGGTGAGTATTTTAGCATACAGTTTACACCTCTATTTACTTCCCATGATGAATCATACAAATAAACAAAAAAAAGAAATAAACCATTAAAGCTTAATGCAGCCTTGCTAACTGTA